GGTTGTGCTAATAATTCTAGCAAAGTCTGAATGTATTTATTTGGAATATTAGGTGTTGTTATGGCTTAGAGCACTGGGATTGCGTCTTCGGTATTATGGATTTGAGGTAAGTAAATTATGGTAATGCCCTTTGATTTTAAAAGTATATTTTAACTTGTTTTTGAAGTGGTGGCGGGACTAAACCCGTTTTATACAAAAATGAGCATGATTGATTTGAAATAAGATTATTATTCTTTTTATTGATTTGAGCATGCCTACTTGGAATTTACTTAACTGCCCTGATAAACTGAGAATTTTGTAAATTCTGATTTTTTTCTGTTAAATCCATGTCCACATGGAAATTTTTCGATTTATTTCTGAAATTTGAGATTGATTGTGAATTACGGATTTTAGTGTAAATCTTGCATGTTTTGTCTCCGATATGGTCATGTTATTTGTGTGCCCGCTAGTGGGAGGTTTATAAACACTAGTACATGTCGACATGTTACTGATAGAACCGGTTTGTTTCTGTTATACTGTTATCCTGCTAGTGGGATTATACACTAGTAAATCGTGTGCCTGTCAGTGGGAGGTTTATAACACTGGCCATGACCTATAGAGGAGACATCTATTTCATTCCCGTACTGTATTCGTTTTTCTAATTACACTTATTGGCATGCTATAAGTTTAATTAAAAGCTATCCATATTTACTTACTGAGTTATCTCATAGTTTTTTCTTGTCCACCATTTCAAGAAGCGTAGTCAAGGACGGGAAAAAACGAGGGGAGTGACGAGTTAGAAGGCTAGCCATCTTGTAAAATGAACATAGATTTTAGATATAAATCATGATCTTGTAAACTAGACTTTATTTGGAGATTTTATGATATCAGAGCAAATTTTATAATTTATCTTTAGATTTTGTGGTATTAGATTGTGGTATGATAAATTCCGAGCCTTGTGCATTCGTGGGACCTGTTCATGAGTGCACGGCGTTTGTTACGCCTCGGATTTGGGTTATGGGGCGTGACAACCTGAAACAATGGGCTTTGCAGAGGTCAATTTCTGATCATTGCACCATAATTTTAAAGAATGAGAAACGAGATTGGGGCCCAAAACCATTTCGTTGCTTTGAGGCATGGGTACAGCATCCAGACTTCTTAAAAGTGTGTAGTGTAGCATGGAGAGCAAGTGAAATACAGGGGTGTGCTAGCTATATAATGAAGGAGAAATTAAAACATGTAAAAAAAATCCTTAAGGTGTGGAGTAAGGAGCAATTTGGGGAGATGGACAGTAGAATTGAAAAACTGAAGAGTGACATTGACAGATTGGATACTAAAGGCGAGGTGGATCAGTTATATGTTGAAGAAATTGCAACAAGGAGGAATTGTTTCTTGGAGCTATGGAATTTGGTACA